TCGCAGAAGATAACGATATCATTTCACCCTTTTGAGAGGGAATTATGGGTAGTCACAGCGGCGCCGCTTACATACATATTAGTCACTGCAAACTTAACAGTGATTTCCACTATTTCTCTATAGTGAACAAGAACAACTATTTCTAATTTCTTTAACATTAGGCAAAACTGAACACTGCTTCCGCAAAGTCAGACCTACTAGAAACTAATGGTTTTTGATAAAATCTTGCGAATGTTTTAGATTTTTCCGTCCACCCCGCGGCCAACCGGATGCTATCATAGCTTCCTATCCCTTTCCTGGAGGCGGTAGAAGTAGCTGAATGTCTAGTGCTCTGAGCACAAAAAGAACTTATGTCTGTACCACTCTTTAATAACATAGTTTTTAACCATCTGCTGATAGTTTGAGTAGAGGCTATTCGATGCGGCCTTCTAAAATATAGAAACAAACTCAGTTCGTTACCTTGAATAGCCTTTGTTTTTTCCAGATATAACAGTAACGTTTTGGCTGGGCAAATATTCACATTATCCGGAAAAAATGGCAAAACTAATGTGGGCTGCATTTTGTTAACGCCAGATGTCTTTATCCTTTTAGATATGCGGATTTCTAACCGAGCTGAGAAATTTTGAATATTACACACTTCCATACTAGCTAATGTTTGGACGCGTTGGCCTGTTGCTAAGGCGAGGAGCATGGCCGTCTTGAGAGTTAACTGTTCTAAAGTAGGATTCGTAGAAAATGAATTTTTTATATGGTTCAAAACTATGCATGGATCCCAGGTGTTGTTATACTTAGGGAGCGGGGGCCTTAAGCGACTCAGTCCTTTGAAAAATCTTATAATTCTGAAATCTTCACTAAGATTTGGCCCTAGAATCTGTGAAAGCGTTCCTCTATATGAATTCAGAGAGCTAAAAGAAGACCCCTTATTGAAATGAAATGTTAGAAATTTAAGTACTGCAGAAAACCGACTGGGTGTAAATATTTTTTCTCCATTGCAATATTCCCACCAAAGCCTCAAGCCTACGTTGTACTGCTTAATTGTGTTATCCGTAACTGATGCAAGACATATATTTAGCGATTCCGAGGGAACGTCCCCCAACATCAACGCCCGCCTGATACAATTCCTGCCACCAGAGTAGTCTTTCTCCAAAGGGGGGTGTGGTGACCTGTTGAAAGACATTAACATCTTGGATGGACGAAATTTTATTGCATTACATTCTAAAAGGGATGTAAACACAGGATAGCAGGGTTGAGATGTCCATACGGGGACGACAAGAATGCCCCTTGCTCCATCGAGAATGATTTTATTCAAAACCCGCAAAATTAGTGAAAATGGCGGAAATCCATAAAAATAGAGCTTTCCCCAAATCAACGTGAAAGCATCAATTGCCATTCTCTCGGGGTCTCTCAACCATGAAACAAAGTTTTTGCATTTTTCATTAATTTTATTCGCAAACAGGTCAATTTCAGGCTTGCCAAACTGTGCAACTATGTTTTCGAATGCAGATACGTCCAGGGACCACTCCGTCTCGGTTTCCAAACTACGACATTCCCAAATCTGCTTCCTTATTATCGGCTGATTTTATGTATGCCGCATAAAGGAATAAGTTTCTTGTTTCACACCATTGCCAAATGGTGCGCGCCAGACTATTAAGTTTTGAAAATCGCACACTACCCATTTTATTAATGTAGGCCAAGGCTGTGGTGTTATCCACCCGACACAGGATGTTACAATTAGATAGGTTAGCTGCAAAACATTTTAGCCCAAAGAAAACTGCCAACAGTTCTCGATAGTTTATGTGATGTAGTTTTTCAATGTCCGACCAGAACCCGTGCGACTTTTTCCCAAAGCAGCTAATACCCCAGCCAGAGTCTGGTGCATCAGAAAAAATTTCTATAACCAACGAATCAACTTGAATGAAGTTTTTTGCCTGTGGCAAATTATTAAACCACCAGTTAAAATCGTGAATAAGTGTTGGGGAAAGTCGCATGATTGCATCAAAATTCCCTCTCGACTCGAATAATGCTAAGTGTTTTTCCCGTTCGAAGTTTTTTGTGTACAACCATCCGTACTTGATTCCAGGACAGATACTGACTAGTTTCCCCAACAATCTGGCAAATTCTCTAATGCTACACTTTTCCACTGATGACATTGTTGCACTAGCTGTCTGGATTTTAAAACTTTTTCATGAGGAATACGAATAGACATATCTATCGAATTATAAATGAATCCAACATATTGAATTGACTGGGATGGGGCTAAAATGGATGTCTCGTAGTTTGGCAGGAAGCCTAATGAAAGTAAGAGGTTTAGGGTCTCCTTCAGATTAGAGAGACACTCTTCATGAGTGTTACCAAACAAAAGAATATCATCCCAGTAAATAACAGATAAAAACCCTTTTGCTGTAAGAAAAGTAATAACGGGTTTCATTAATTTTGTAAAAATGTAAGGTGCTATATTTAGCCCAAAGGGCATACACCTAAATTCATATAGCTGCCCACAAAATTCGAATCTTAAGCATTTCCTGTATGTTTTGTGCACTGGTATTAGAAAATACGCATCTTTTAAGTCCACCTTACACCTGAAACAGTTGCGGACTAAATTCTTTACGGTGCGACTATCTTCCATCTTAAGATGGCTGCAATGTCTATGTCTGTTGACATTTTTCAGATTCAGAATGAGACGATTAGAGCCATCGTTTTTTGGCCTGAGAAAATTTTTAGGAATGTACTGCTTATCACTCGCCGAAGCCATGGTAATGGCTCCTGTTAGTAGTAATTTAACTATGTAAACTTGGATAAGCTTGATCCTGAAGTGACCATGAGGTAACTGCAAAATTCTGTTGTTTAGGATAATGTCTAAATGGTAACTTTAAACCTTTAACCCAACTAAGGACTGATTTATCCTGACAAACCCTAAGCCAATTGGGGTAGAAATGTTTAGGCCTACCAGCGACACGCACCTCAGAGGTTGGATTCATTGCCAACTGCGATTCTTACGAATCGATTTTGCCGGCTTTGGTTTTATGGTCTTCCCGGACAGCATTAATCTGCTTGCATCATTGAGCAGTTTGATGTATTTTCGGTTGCCCCCCCCCCTCTTCAGCCAACATTAAGCTAAAGAGTTGGCCCGTAGCGGCTAAACATGCGGCTGTTTGACCCTGTAGAGCCATCAACCGAGGGTCCCTTTGAGGGTGATATCGCCTTGACAATCATCGGTTTAAGTTATGGGGCCGCCAGTATTGAAAATTCTCGGGGAGAGGATACTTGTTGCAAAGTTCCTTTTTGTCCTCTTCAGACAACCCCGCGGCCACAGCTTTTTGCCAACGGGAAACTAAATCTTTGTGTAAATTCGGCCCATAAATGAATGTGTTGGTATCAGGTGTGACCAGAATTTCGACGACATCTTCTGAGAGCTCGACACCAGGAGGAGGGGCGTCTCCTTGCCCTGGAAGAAACAACATTTTTATTCCACCTGGATGGGTTAGTGTATCATCAACACTAATGTAACACGTTGTCCCAACTTGACCAGAAACTGTGAAGAGCGGGATAAACGGAAGGTATGCCCATTGATACCTTATCATCCAGCCAAAAACAAAGAAGGTACTCTCATCGATACCCGGCAAAATACGTAAGTACACTCATTGGTACCAGGCGACATAATTGGGTACACTCATTGGTACCAGACGAAATAAATAGGTACCCTCATCGATACCTGCTTAGAGAATGGGTATACTTCCTTGATACCCTGAAGTACGAAAAAAAGGTTCGAATATTACTCACCTGGATGTGTTAGTGTACCATCAACACTAATGTGACACGTTGTCCCAACTTGACCAGAAACTGTGAACAGCGGGATAAACGGAAGGTATGCTCATTGATACCTTATCATCCAGCCAAAAAACCAAAAAGGTACTCTCATCGATACCCGGCAAAATACGTAAGTACACTCATTGGTACCAGGCGACATAATTGGGTACACTCATTGGTACCAGACGAAATAAATAGGTACCCTCATCGATACCTGCTTAGAGAATGGGTATACTTCCTTGGTACCCTGAAGTACGAAAAAAAGGTTCGAATGTTACTCACCTGGATGTGTTAGTGTATCATCAACACTAATGTGACACGTTGTCCCAACTTGACCAGAAACTGTGAAGAGCGGGATAAACGGAAGGTATGCTCATTGATACCTTATCATCCAGCCAAAAAACCAAAAAGGTACTCTCATCGATACCCGGCAAAATACGTAAGTACACTCATTGGTACCAGGCGACATAATTGGGTACACTCATTGGTACCAGACGAAATAATTTGGTACAAATCGGTGAAACCGTGCAATTTGAAGTGTGGCCCCCGGACCGATCCATGATACTCGAACCAGGGGGAGTCCTTGATCTAGATGACAGAGAGGACTCCGACGACTGAGACGATGACACTACTCTCCGATTTCGTTTCCGTACTGGGCTTCGGCTGCGGCGATATTCAATTTTCCGCAGTCTCTTAGGAATGTCTCGAAGACAATTCATTACATCACCCACATTTCCCGCACTTTCCGCGCTAGACTCGCGTGAGGCCGCGGTGCCTTCGCTTAATTGACCTCCCGGGCATGACACCCACAATTTGAAAAAATCCCGGCACCTAGGTACGCACCAACCGGAAACGAACCGCTCGATTCGACACACAAACAAAGTATGAGGGTTCGACGGAGTGGCGAAAGGACAGGACTGTATCCAGGGTGAGAAAATTTGCTTTGAACTGTGTGAGATTTGACTGCAAGCAGAGCTACTACACGTATACTTATTTATGAAGGCGAGGCGCAATATAATAGTTATAAAAACAACTATGCTTCTAAGGAAAATTGAATGGAATACACTTTATATATTTTTGTCTTTCTAGTTTTAACGAACTTTAAACATATCTTTTTATTTTTGTCTTATCTGTAGAACTCTGCGCATGAGAATGTTAAGGTAAGGTAATTAAGACAATCAAATTTTTTCCAGCCCCACCTCCGTCCTATGATTCATTGTTTGGAAGAGTGAGGGAAGCCAGAAAGTCAAGCAAGGGCGCTCTTGAATTCTTGAAAAATGTAATCATCATAATATTAGGGACACGTGAGTATTTCTGTTCTGTAAACATGAAGTTTCATTATTAATCAAATTTACATTTCAGTTGGTTGTACAATAATATTAGGAGTCACGATAGTTATTCCAATATGTATGATTGTTATGGGAGCAATCTATTTGCATGAGTGTCCTCAGGGAGAGTACATTCCAGTATACTTGTTAGTTGGAGGTAAATATACTTTTTCAGTTGTAGCTAAATGCAGTGAGGACGAAAAATCAACATTACAATGTAATACATGTTCACTTCAACACTATAACTCTACATAAGATGCTACTGTAACCAGGACCGGTATTCTCGTTCCCCAAAACGCTAAGCGTTTTCCAGTCGCTCAGCGAATATGACGTCATTTGCACTTGCTTTCGAAGCACCTGCCAAAATATGGTATTCCCGTTGCCCGAACGCTCAGCTTTTTGAAAAGCGCTTGTCGCTTTCAAAACGACTACCAAGTGGTCGGTGTTTTGCTTATCGCTTTCGTTATGAGTACTGACACTGCTGTCAGAATTCTTATTTAGATCGTGATTTTTGTTGTAATTGAGGCTACTGTGGCCCTCATATTTAGATAATTATATCCAAAGTATACCTAGTAATGGCATATCAGTTTGCTGGGGTTAATTTAATCCGGATTATTGAGCATGTGGAGAGGCAAAGATTCAATGCCGATGATCCGTTCGAATTCTCTGACTTTAATTTTGTGAAATTATATCGTCTGCGAAAACAGGACGTGCAAAATTTGGAAGAAATGTTACAGCCATTTTTACCAGTACATCCTAGATCGCACGCGATAAGTAATCGCACGAAGGTAAGTAACAAAAGTACTTGTACTTCCAAGATTGACAAAAAATCTTATATATACGATTGATAAAATAGTGATATTTGCATTATAACAACCTAGTGTACATTAATGTTTTAGATACTGTCTGCCTTGCGTTTCTTTGCAAGTGGAAGCTACCAGCTGGATGTAGGCAGAAATCATACAGTAACTCTCAGCCAGCCATCGATTTCTAGAACTTTACATGAGGTGTTGGGAGCATTCAACACTCCAGAAATATTGAATAGATATGTCCATTTTCCAAACACAATTCAAGAGTTAACCAACACCAGAGAAAGGTATATTTCAATTTAGAATTATAAATATATATGAGGAACTATCATGATGTTGTCCTACACTATGTTTCTTCAAAGCTATTCAATAAGATGATCAAAATTTGATGGTCAAGCTGTACCTATATTGATTTTATTTTGTCTAGATTTTTCGCAAAGTACCAGGTACCTGGAATTATAGGCTGTATTGATTGCACTCACATAGGTATTGTGTGCCCAATCGAAAATGAACATATATATATCAATAGGAAACATTACCATTCCCTCAATGTACAGATGGTAAGCTACCCTTACATCCATAAATGCATGGAATAATTTTAATTTCTCATATAAAGAAACTTTCAATGCACAAAGCGTCAACCCCTAATCAAATTTTCTCTGACTCTGCATAGATTACAACTGAAATTTTGCACCAAAGTCAACCTGCATACTTGACACTTGTTTATTGCAGATATGTGATGAAAATTTGAAAATAATGAACGTAAACAGTCGCTTTCCTGGCAGCACCCATGATAGTTTTATATGGAGTCAGTCACGAGTTGGGGAATTTTTGAGAACATTGTCTGAAGAATATATGGGCAGCTTCTACTTACTAGGTGAAATATGTCTATATGTTGTACCCTTGGATCTACTAAAAGATAGTATTTTCTTTTAAGGTGACTCTGGATACCCTCTACGCCCCTGGTTGATAACCCCTTACCTACCAGAACCACCTCAAGACACTCCAGAATCAAGATTCAATAAAAAAATTAAGCATATCCGGGTTTCCATAGAACAATGCTTTGGGTTATTAAAAAACAGATTTAGGTGTCTACTGAAAGATAGAGTTTTACATTATGCACCAGAAACTTGTGCAAAAATCGTAAACAGTTGTGCCGTGTTGCACAACTTATGCTTAGAAAATAATATTCCATTATATAATGATCAGGAAGATGTAGGTGATGGTAACAACTTCAGTGATGCCTTGGCAGAAGAGAGGGGCAACTTGCCACATAATAATTTTTTGGAGAGGGGTCGACACATACGAAATTTCCTAGCGAGAACTTATTTTTGAAATAAATGAATGGATACACTATAGTATATTTATCACAATAAAAGAGTAGTCTAGAAAAAAGATAACTTTATTTTTAACTATACCACACATCTCATCACAACAAAACCTTATACTCTGATCATAAAAAATATATAAAATAAAAATACAGACAAAAACAAACAAAAGAAGCTATGATGCATATTTTTTAGCAATTGTTTCTGAACTAGAAGCAATTCTTTCTAAAACTTCAATTTTTTTTTTATAATAATTTTCCTTTATTTGATTTAGTTGCAGTTGTGCTGCAACTAAATCGTTTGCGGCCTGGACTGATGATGGTATTGAATTTGTCTGCCTACACCTTTTAGTGCCATGTGGTGGTCTCACGCGTTTAAGGTTCTTTTCTTTAATATTATTTGGACACAGGTTTTCCTTGTCCTTGTCATCATTATCATGTACAGGATAACTTTTGCATACAGGCACTTCGCCAACCTCAGCTTCTTTCGGTAAGGTGTATAATAATCCTAATTCTGGCACTTGGAGCCCTTCAATTAAGATTTCTCCCCCTAGAATACAAAAGAGCTTTTACATTTACTGAAAGTAATGGAGATACTACAATGGAGCAAGATAGGCACAACTATGTAGATCATTTACATTGTTTAAATGAATAATAAATCTCATCAACACTTAAATCACAGTAGATCCATACTTTGAGTATCAATATTAAGAAAAAAACTGTCATCTAATAAAAACATTTAACGAATGACTAAAATATTAGTCACCCATATAAGAATTATGACCATACCCATTATTTCCAAGACTTTGTCATCGATTTCATTCAAGCTCTCTGCCGAGCTTGGTCCACCTCCGGTCTGGCTAGCTTCCTTTTTATTTTCTGACTTCTTCCTTTTTGCTCTGGTTTTCATATCTGTCCAGGTCTAGAAAAGGAAAACTGGAGTATTAAAAACCGACCCTCTTCATATACAACAAATATTCTGAGTAACAATCAAAAATCAAATTCAAGCGGATAACCAAATGGAAATGGTATTTACCATTTTGGGTTGGTATTTACCAATCCGTTCAAGCGAGTGTAGTTATCAGTTTGGTTATAAGATCCGTGACGTCACGAATCAGCTGTTATATGTCATAGTTATCACCGCAAAATTGTGGTATTTACCCAACTCAAGAGTAGTTTTATATTTCTGGTTATTATTTGAAATGTGACAAGTTAGAATTTTGCCGGGTATTGGATATTGTTATTGTACTTCAGCTTCATTTTGAGAAAAACGATACAGGCTGACTTCAGTTTTACCATAAAGTGGAGCACCTTATTAGTTATACTCATTACGGTTGTTGGGGATACTTTAAATGTAGTTCCTATGCTTAACAAAGTATCCTGTGTAGCCATATACCACAAGAATATTAAAATATGGCCATATAAACTCACTAGATGATATCCACCTGTATACGGTTTTGCTAATTTCTTTTTTCATCATTTCTGCTGAATCAATAAATGTTTTCTTTGACATGTGGAAAAATTTAGAGAATTGAAAGTTATCATAGCTACAAAGCCATGGTTAGATCATTAAAAAAAAAATCTGAAAAAAACATTTCTCCATGAATATTATGAAAGGTTTCTTATTTAAACTTTCCATATACAGTTGTAGACGAAAAAGCACCGATTATTAAGTGATAATAAAAATAATCAGAGATTATATACGCGCTTTTCTAAAATAAACAACTTGCAACAAAACCGCGGTTAAAACCAACGCGTTCAAGCGATTCGTGTAACTGACGTCATCAACCCGTGTGTCATCTTGAACCATATTATAACCGCGGCACATAACACAGAAATTTTGGTTATTCGCTTGGATTTGATTAAACTGACTCGAGTCTCTATTGCCGTGTTTTAACGATAGATCCTAGTATTCTAGTGAATTCGTTATTACAACAGAAGTACCATTCCTAACTATGGATCTATGTCCGTCAATAGCATATTAATTCAATACAAAGTTGCAAATATGTTACATGTACCTTTCTCCATTCAGTCCATTGCTTAGTGGCCCCAGGAATTGCATTTAACTTTTCGCTCAACTCCACCCATAACTTGCGGGCGTCTGCGCTGGTGTATTGGTTTGTTTGTTTTTGAGACACCAATTCCGGGTGGTCTTCCAGGAAATCAATTAGCATAGTTTTTTGTAAAATGGAAATTTGTTTACGAGACATTTCGAAGCTCGAGTGACACTGACAAAACGCATCTGACAAGTGACAACCATCATAATGCCAGAAATAGAAACTTTTTTAGTACTGTGGTTATATAACATTGGTGACATTGGAGACAAATATGTTGGTAACACTGGAACAACCACCGTTGCCAATATGTGCCAAGCGTTTTGAACCCGAAGCGTTCGCACAGCAACGTGAATACCAAAACCGAAGGCTTAGCGCTTTGCCGTACGACATGAGGCGCTAAGCGTTTTGAAAACGTATCGCTTTCACGCCAAAGAACGAGAATACCGGTCCAGGTGCTGCAGCATGTAATTTTCCCTAATTCCAAAAATATCCTATTACTCCATCTTTGAGGAAGGAGAAATGAATAAAAGACGTGTAGTCGGTTACAAATAGGTTAGAGAGTAAAGTAACACACTACTGCTAACGCCGTCTTTGAATATGGCACAACAATATAAATAATACAAAAACTACTATATCCCTTTAAATCGCTGTTTATAGAGTTAAAACTTTTAGCTATAAATAAAATATTTTGGTATAATGTTACTAGAATTCCATAAAAACAAGCATTCGACCTATTATAAAAATTATGAATATAATACTAGAAATCAAAATAAATAATTATTGCAACACCAAAAAAAGAAATAATGTTGAAATCTTCTATATGTTTAGGTCCAAAACTATATCATAACTTACCAAAATATATTAGAAAAAACCGAATATTATTATTAAAAATAGATTTATACGAGTGACTATTGAATACTAATATAAACACGATGTAATTTATAAAAAACCAACATACAGGGTGTGAAAGGGTTTAAAATCTCGAAACTGGAGATACTACAGACCAAAACATGTGAATTGACCTAAACATACCTTAGTCCAAAAGTTGATAGTTTGCGAAATACAGGGTGTCAAAGTTACAATTTTATTTTAAATATAAAGCAATGAGGAATAATATTCCTCATTGCTTGAGAAGCTTCGGTATATGGAGTTTTTCTAGTATGAAAAACAAGAATTCGTTATTTTTTATGGCCAAACTTCTAGCGGGCGCCACTTACAGCACTATTTCGGTAAATAACCTATAACTTTTTTTGTGCTACCCTGTATACAACAACTGACCGAAAAATCGTATTTTTTCGTATTTCCACAATAAAAAAGGTTTACTTGTTAGAAGTGTCTAAAGCTAATAGTTTTAGAGATATTTGTTTTTCAAGCAATAGCAATTGCCAATCTGTACATTAAATGCATATCAGAATGTTCATCAAATGTATACTCCATGATGTTTAACAACTTATTGTCTGTTGTCAGTTTAAAGCAATATTATGACAAACATTAGAAACCATAGCAACGCTACTCAGATATTATCCAAAGCAACTTGATATTATGTTATAAAAATGTTTTATCATCTATCTATCAAAACTATTGTCTTTAGACACTTCTAACAAGTAAACCTTTTTTGTTGTGGAAATACTAGGAAATAAGATTTTTAGGTCAGTTGTTGTATACAGGGTAGCACAAAAAAGTTATAAGTTATTTACCGAAATAGTGCTGTAAGTGGCGCCCTCTAGAAGCTTGGCCATGAAAAATAACGAATTCTTGTTTCTCATACTAGAAAAACTCCATATACCGAGTTTTATGCCAAAATCTGAAATACTTCTCAAGCAATAAGGAAAAATAGAAAATAAAATTGTAACTTTGACACCCTGTATCTAGCAAACTATCAACTTTTGGACTGAGGTATCTTTAGGTCAATTCACGTATTTTGGTCTGTAGTATCTCCAGTTTCGAGTTTTCCCAACCTTTCGCAGACACCCTGTATAAATATCTTTTCTTCATTGCTAATCTACGATACAAAATTGATGTACTCGTATATATTACATTTATATTATGTAGATTTTTTTAGTCCTATCAGTTTATTGTATACTATGTTATATGTATGTTATGTTGTGTTAGAATGATCATGAATAATAATAATAACTTGAAAAAATGTGACCACCTTACCTCCTCGTTCATAAAATTGGAATGGTTATCTATTCCTAATCTGTTTAAATTGCATTTACTATGTTATATTCACAAGCTTTTACTTACCTCAATTCCCCCATTTTTTAAAGATAAGTTCAAATTTCGTGGTTCTAGGCACTCACGAGATATTCGCTTTATTGATACAATAATAATTTCTCCTCACATAACTAGATTTATTACTAAATGTTTTACTTATAATGCTACTATCATGTACATACAATACTTTATCTCTGATACTAAAGAATTTCAAAAATTATTTAAGAAAAGTAATTTTTGAGCAATCATTTACATAAATTTTTCTCTTCTGCTTATAATATATGCATCAATATGTATGTATAATGTTATACTTTTATCCAATCTTGATTTACCTGTGTTTTACTTAATTAATTTACTTTTTATGTTGAAACTCTGCATTTTAGTGGTTGGTATATATTTTTTTGGATGGACATTTTATGGGTTAAGTGGTAGAATAGCTTTTGCTAAACTTCACCCAATATTTTATTATTATTATTAAATATATTTTCCTTTTATGGCATATCAATTTGTTCACAATTTGTAATTGATGTGATTATTATTATTATCTTAAGCAGCACTTTAACTCTTAAAAATAAATTACCATAAAATATTTCTCCAGAAATCGTCCTGTGAAATATTGATGAGATTGTAAAGCTCTTCGTTTCTGTTGATTTGATTTGTAACGTAACCTCATTCTAAAATGAATATGGCATACATTTACTTAAATAATTATTTCAGGTATATTTGGCATTGTAAAGCAGCTATTACACTTATCAGCTAGAGTAAGACAAACTGAAGAAGAAAGAAGAGAGGAGAATTTAAGACAATCGCCAACTCAAACACTACTGAATTGTTTTATGCTCGGATGGTTTATTATTGGTAAGAAATATGTTCATGCAAATAACGTATTTTAAATACTATAATTTCACTATTGAGAGCGAAACTTAACTGTATAAGTTTTGTTTTGGCACAATCTTTCCATGGCATGTTTATATCCACTCACTAGTTTTGTGTAGATACGAGTGAAGTCACCCTCAAAATAACTTCCTTCTGAAGCCACACAACTCTGGAGACGATTCTTCCACTCCTCTTAGCAGTGCTGGAACTCCGATTCTGGAGTAACCTTCAGCTGGTCGGTTACAGCCGTTTGAATGCTTTCGTCTGTTCACAGGAATGTTGTTCTTGATCTGATGATCGGTGGTGTGAGTCATATTTAACTCTTCCCTGATCATTCTGACTGTCAACCGACGATCTGAACGCACAAGATCCCGGATTCTGTCGATATTTTCATCGGTTCTTTAAGATGAAGGCGTTCCGCTCCGTGGTTCATCTTCAATCGACTCGCTACCTTCTGAAAATGCCTTAAGCAACCGAAAAACCTGAGCTCTTGACAAACCACTATCTCCGTAGGCCTGCTGAAGTTTAGCGAGAGTTTCCGTTGCACTGTGCCCAAGTCTGAAGCAAAACTTGATAGCTCGAAATTGATGTCATTGATTTTTAGAACTCAATAGGAAAAACCGTTTCACAAAAACAATCGCTACTGACAACCAATGACTCGAGCGAGTTACTTGTACCGAAGGCGGATCACATGTTCCCCTATATGCCTTCCAAGCTCGGCGCCTCCAGTGTTGCCAGATCGAATGCTACGTTGCCCTTCTCATCACTTAATTTAGTGACCTCAGCATAATGCAGCACTAATGAACATGCTTTTTGGATTGGTTATACAAAGATTGTCACTTGAATCAAGACTTCAGTATCAAACTTGTAAAATAGCCATATTGAACATTTGAAAACTATTTTTTGTTGTTTATAATTTTATATTTTGTTTGATTCATAAAGAAGAAAATACTAGTGGAATGCAATGTAGCTAAAATAAGGAATCAGGTAAATTGGCTCAGTGATTTCCCACCAATTATTGGAAATTCTAATTATATATAAGAAATGCATGCTTCCAAGATTTTTGACACATACAAATTTTTTGGCTACACCCTAAAGTTGAAAAACTTCGGAAATGAAATTGAAAATCTTAGAAACGGTCAAATCATTAGACCCTCGAGGAGTATAAAAAACGAAGTTTATCAACGTGGAGATTTCTTGTGTTTCGTTCATAACTTCGGTACTTTCCAAAGGAAAAACAACATTACGACAGATATACAGATATATTGACGGTAACGAGTGACATGGTGACAACCAAGTAACTATAATTCAATTTTTATTATAATCTTAAGACAGTATTACTACATAAATCATAACAAGCCATTAAAAAGTATTTTGGATAGGCTTATGATGTTTTTAAACAACAAAAATGTATTATACCTAGATTCGTTAAAAGTTCCAGAAAACTAATCAAACTTAACCTGGTTGAGTATTAATGCTTCCAAAGACTGATAAACATAATTTGTTTTTCAGGATCCGTATGGGTGTACAAAGAATATGAACCAAATTACGATCCTGTGAATGGTATATACTGTAATAAAAACTTATACATGTTTGCTTTTTGGCTCATTACTTCGGTGTATATTTTATTAGGTGGTATAACTGTCTGTTTATGTTCAATCAGTCTGGCAATCATATTTTACGCTGATAACCCAATATCCTACTGAGCTTCAAACAGTGTAAGATTATCTGTATTTTCTTAATGACTGAAAATAATTTGGTTTGATAAACTATTACATCGTGAAAGTAATTATGGCTTCTTTTGATGATGCCTAAGTGTCTCCTACGCTAAGGATTTTTTTGATACTCGAGTGAAGTTGACAATTTTCAGGAAAAAGTTGACGCGAACAGTACAATCTGGCTTTAAAGTGCGCAAGATACTTGGGAATTGTCAGGGATGCCGACGTATTTCTAAATTATTCTAGTATTTCTTTGAATCCTACCTAAATGGCTAAATTCGTAAAACAAAAATATACAGAAACACGTTATATAGAATTCTCTAGATCGCGCATTGTAATCTGTAAAAGGCGTTGATAGAGCGAACTGGCACAAAATAACGGTACGATCGAAGGCATTTGGATTGTGAGATATTTCTTCAGTATTCGGGAAATTTTGATAGAATTTCGACCGGCCATTTAGTACTGAGACTCATTGCCATCTGGCATATTTCCAGTGTTCTCTAGTAGTAAAATTTGTAAATAACAAAAATAACATTCCTTGTGAATTATATTGTACAATTCACGTAATTTTCAGCCGTTCTACGTAGGACTCAGATAATTGAAAGGTTCTCCACTTTCAGCAAACATTGAAAATACACTAACGTAGTTACACGTTAAATTACATACGAAGGTTGATCACTATGCTCCGCCTCTAACCCCGTTACAGTCAAGCTAGGTTGGGTTAGGTTTCTAGTGAGTGCATCACTAACAGTTGCTCCACTGCGACTCTTTGGTTTATCAGTAAAGCAATGTATATTTTTTACTTTTCTACATGACCGCATTAACATAGCTGAAGCATTTCAATAGCCTCGCAAAAAAAATTGTCCGAATGCTGAAAACAACTCCTCTACGGCAGATATCACATGTTGATTCAAAGCCGTTTTGTTGTTGTTACCATTACATGTGGAGCACCACCATATTGGTTTTCACAAGATGTTACTTCACTTGAAATTCCGAAGACTGCATTCGACTGTATCATGAGAAACTGCACATGCATACTTTTTTTTACCAACCAAAAACATGTAGCGTCAAAACTGTTTGACATATAAACTTGATATTTCGTTAACAACCTACTAAAATTACTTGTTTTATTAACAACATTCATCTGCAGAGGGGTTAGGGGCGGAGCATAGTGATCAACCCTCGTAGGATTGATCACAATATCATTTTTAGTGGGCTTTAACTTGTCTTGGATATTTGGCTCAAACATTGACACTTAGGCATATTTGCTATATGCACTGGAGACCATCTAACACTGTAACTGTAAAAACTACCAACACTATGTTGATGGACTAAAGAAAATACAGAACAGTCTTACAAGTCTCTGTCCCCTCAATTATTTGGAACAAATTAATTTGAAGAAGCTTCTGCTTGTATCTGTGATATATTTCTTAAACATTATAAAATACTTATTTTTAGATATTTTTAATCGTTAGTATTGTGTTATAAAGTGTAGGAAATTATCAACGGTCAACATTCATTTTTTATTGTTACATATTTATTTTTGTGCAAAAAGGTTTCAGGACAAACAAATAAATGGGTCATATTATGACTACACCTTTATAAGGTATTATTTTATGGAAGACTGACATGTAAATAGTCAAAATATAAATAACATTTTCAAAGTACTATGTCAGATAACACCTTTAAATGCAATAATGTTTACGTACCTTAGGAAATTGGGATTATATTTTAGAAAAAACATATCAGTTCAAATATCTGTACCTAAGAGCCAGGTTAAGTCCAGATAAGTAGTTTTGAGATTGAATTGTATTTGAAATATTTTTCTTGTATTGTATTGTATGCTACTTAACATGATTTACAAAGTCGTAACTTCCTTATTAATACAGATTGATGGATGCTGCAAGTAGAAAGTGAAAATTAACAATATTATCATAAGGTTAACATATAAGACGCATTTTTGACAAAAATGGACTTAACCTAATCTGGCTCTGGGGTACAGATTTTCATGTTTACGAGTTGTTTATTTGAGTTGAGGAAATTTCTCTTTATAGAATGTTTACTCCATATGATAAGATTTCAGTTTACTGGAAGGCATTTCGACCACCATTTTAGTCTTCTTTAAATACAATTGACATCTTGTCTTCCAGATGGCATTTCGTTTGTTTCTTCCTTTTTCGCCTTTATATACAGTGTGTTACTTCAGTAGTCTTTTAAGATGCCATCTCAGCAAGTTTCAGGATCGTTCAGACTGTAGTAACACACTGTATAGGAATGTGAAAAATGAATCGATATGTCATCTGGAACACCTAAAACAAATTATATTGTCACAGCTGTCAATTATACTTGAAAAAGACCACAGAGGTGGTCGGAACGTCGTAAAATAAACTGAGATCTAAACATATATGTGGTTTTGATTGGGCCAGACAATGAAGTCCTATGAATGTGAAAACCACAGTATAAGTTTCAGGAGTTGCTTTATACAATGTGGCCGAGACGTCCATAAAAAGCTCTTAGGGACAGATAGAACATATTTAACCACTCATCTAAAGAAATTATGCGATATATGATATCCTTAGCATTAATTTTAGATACCCCAAAAATTTTAATTTATCGGTTAATATGACGATATTATTTGGTTGCACCCTGAGAACCAGTTTTATTGAAACTTTGTCTACATTTATTATACAGAGTGGTCCGTAGTGAATGCGCCAAAAACCAGTTCCAGATTAAATGCATCAAAATAAGGATATTGAGACCAATACACCTTAATAAAATGTAGCTCGTTATTGGAGCTTAATTTTCATACTGTAAAGTGGGGCAACTTTGTAACACTTTTTTAGGTTTTTTGATGATTTATTTCATATTGTTTGAAATATTATAATTTAAGATATTAAGATATGCCACCATATAGACTCATCTTTTTTCTATCTCAAATAGAAAATGTAATTCAATAAATGTCATAGAACTCGAGAAAATGACAGAAAAAGTTGTCACAAATTAACCCCATAGGTTGGGGTTACTTTATGACATGCAATTTTTGTAACTATATCACAAAGAAACACACATGCTTTGTTTAAAAAAATAAAAAGTATAATATATATATATATATATATATATATATATATATATACAGGGTTATCCAAATTAAGTGTCCACCATTAGTAACTTTGTTATTAGTGAAAATACAAAGTTGTTTGAATTAGCAAACTAGTAGCATTTTTAACGCTGGTAAAAATGAGAAATAAAAAAAAACAATTGAGAGTCGTTATTTTGATTTTTTTCAGTAAAATAACATTTTTTTAAACGGAAACCCCTGTATATTATATTTTTTTCTGTTAAAGCATCAAATTTTAAACAAAAAAGTTCATAATGGCTTTTCCGCTAAAGTCAAAAATAAAGTCAAAATAACGATAAATATTTTTAATTATTTGCAGTATTATAATATTAAGACGGCTATGAAAACAACATGGCGTTCGCGATTTGACAGCATTAAGATAAGCTACAAATTGTTAAACTGGACATACTCGCAACTAGAAGGCTTTGGAAAACAATGATAAAATCAAATAATGTCAAACATTAGTGTAAATACTTGTTTATAAGCTTTATTGTGTCATTAATTTAAAGAAAAATGTTCTCCCATGAAGAAAAGTGTGATATGTTAGAATGCTATTTAGTGTGCAGAAAATCCTCCTTGAGAGCAAGAGAATACTACAGTGAATTATATCCCGCTCGCATTCAACCGTATGAACGATATTTTCTGAGACTTTATCGAAAATTTAGGGGCAACGAAAATGTTTTTGCTAAAACAAGGGCAAAAAAAGAATTCATAATAAGCGAGGCCACGGAAATTGCAGTTATTGGATATTTTGAAGCTTATCGTGAGAATTCAATAGCAGATATTCTCAAGGACTCTAATTTCAGTTATGGTACTGTTCAAAGGATTTTAAAAAAATACAAATTTATTCCGTATAAGTACCGACCAGTTCAAACGCTTTTGGCAGGGGATCCAGAGAGAAGACTTGTTTTTTGCCATTGGTATCTTAGCTTCTGTCGCCAAAATGTAAATAACTTTCGTTACCTTTTATGGACAGATGAATCATATTTTTCAAATTCTGGAATGTTTAATAGAAAAAACCACCATTATTGGTCAAGAGAAAATCTTTTGTTAGTACATCCAAGAGGCCCACAAGTCCGTTTCAGTTTCAACGTTTGGTGCGGTATAATTGGTTCAAAAATTGTTGGCCCGTTCTTTTATGAGGGAACCCTAACTGGTGAAAGATATGTGGAATTTATGTCAGAAATTCTGACTAATTTCTTAGACGAATTGGATCTTATAAGTAGACATCATCTGCATTTTCAGCAAGATGGCGCACCTGCCCACAACTCCAGAGGTACTTATCATTTTCTAAGTAATACTTTTAATGATCAGTGGATAGGAACAAATGGCCCAATACAGTGGCCTCCCAGATCACCAGATCTAAACCCACTTGATTACTTCTTGTGGGGTTACTTAAAGAACCAAATTTACAAGCGAAGGTACGATAACCTTGACGCGTTAAAGACTGCAGTTAGGGAAAAGATAACCCAGATAGATGGTAGGACCATACTTAAGACAGTTCGAGCAGTTGAAAAACGTGCCCAAAAATGTATTGAAGAACAAGGTGGTGTTTTCGAGCATCTTCTTTAAAAAAAATTGTTATTGTATTTTGTAAGATTATAAGTTGATGTTGAAAATAAAGTTTGTCGATACAATTTAATTGTTTCAGATTGGAGGCCATAACTTCAACAATTTGTAACCTAGGAGAAAAGTTATTGTAAGCTTTTTTGTTTAAAATTTGATGCTTTAACAGAAAAAAATATAATATACAGGGGTTTCCATTTAAAAAAATGTTATTTTACTGAAAAAAATCAAAATAACGACTCTCAATTGTTTTTTTTTATTTCTCATTTTTACCAGCGTTAAAAATGCTACTAGTTTGCTAATTCAAACAACTTTGTATTTTCACTAATAACAAAGTTACTAATGGTGGACACTTAATTTGGATAACCCTGTATATATATATATATATATATATATATATATATTTGAGAGAAAAAACATATATTTGAGAAAAAAACACATACAATTTCCAAAAATAAACTCTTAATTGGCATTAACTAGGTATATAAGGTTAGGATTGAAACAACAAAATGTTTATTATTACAAACATTATAAAAAAGTTATTGTTACTCAAGAATGTCTTTCAATTCTGGAACGTCAAATAAGGCTCGCTTTCCACGCTGCATTGGAGCGTTTATGCCCATAACAATTTCATCGTTCCTATAAAATATCTCGTCCTTCTTAAGAGGTCACTTCCATTGTTTTCCAGCACGTTCCATCACATTTACGGCTGCTCCTACCCTCGAGACATTAGTAATTTGACCATGAAAATAGCTTTGCTCAAATTGTACAACTACGTACTTTCCCGTTGATTTCTCCACTTTTTGGGATGGGACATTATTTTCTTCAGTGGGCTGCTCATCTCCATCATCGAAAAAATGATCATCACTCGTACTGTCATCACTCTCCATGTATTTAACTTCCTCCTCATTTTCACAGAACTATCTGATGATGATCTGTCAACTCCAAGATTTCGTAGACGTTTTCTCTGACGGATGCCAGTGATTCCAGGCTCAGGATCAACAGTTTTTGTCGTATTTTCAACAGTAAGGCCTCTTGCACACGACCGATCATTACGCCGACCGGTTGTTTCTCCGCCCGGCAAAGAAATCGGGATTATCTTACACACGATAAGCGATCGGCCGGTTACGTGCCGTTTACTTTGCCTTCTGCATGAAGGCCATTGCTGTACTGTCATCCGACGTAGAAAGAGCTTGGCTATTTTCGTTTCGTGCATTGTCAAAAATGAAACGTGAAAAGAAGATCGCGCTTGTGTGTTTATTGTATAGACGAAGAAAATACAAGAAAGCTTTAGCAAGAAGATTATGGATTCATCCACTGAGAGCTGAAAGAAGTGCAGTAGGAGCATTTTATACCTTGTTTACAAGACTACGAGAACATGAACCAAAACTTTTCAATTACTTTAGGATGTCTGTTGCAACATTTGATTATTTACTACAGCGTTTGGACAAACATATAGCCCGCCAAGAAACAAACATGAGACAAGCGATACCACCCACAGAGATGCTTGCAGTTACAATAAGGTAAGTAATAGAATTAAAATGTGATTTTAGAACTAGATATATTTAAATAAGGAACATAACGAACAAATTAAACAAATCAAATTCTGGTTGTAGTTAAGTCGGATTTCATAAACTATTGTGGTGTCGAAGATTGTGGATATTCAAGATTATTGTCATAGCGAGATGTAGTTGGATCAAATGACGTACTTGATTGTGGTATTGAAGTCTGTGGACACTGCAATGTATGGTATGTCGGTATCCACTGCCGGCTGTGTGACTGAGTTGCTGGTGGTACAAAAGAAGGTAGCGATCTATTGGCATCAGAAGTCATGTTGATAGCATCACATTTTTGCTTTCGTTTAATACGTTGTACAAGCTGCAAAACTTCTATGCGAAATTGAAGTTTGCCATCTTCATCAAAGTTTTCTACAATCGGCATTTGGATTGGATAGATTGGAATTGATCATATCCTGATCAATTTGAGAATCGCCTTCATTGCTACTATCATCTACATTCTGTTGCGCCATCGTTTCTGTATTTTTTTCTTGTGAATTACTGGATGTTGTAGTATTGTGTTCGATTGTTGTTGCAAGGAATTGCAACTGATCGTGAAAGATGTACTTTCTTATTCTCCTAAAACAAGAACCTGAATTAAGGGTTTTATTTTTTTTTATAACTCTTCACAAAACTGTCACGAATGTTGTTCCATTTCTGCAATAGTGTTTTAGCTGAACAAAAAAAGAAATAATTAATTTTGTTGCAGGTATTTGGCAAGCGGTATGACTTCCACAGACCTTCACTATGCATACAGATTGGGAACATCAACAATACGTAAAATTGTTAGGGATGTATACAGGAAAATTTGGGAAATCCTACTTGATGAATGCATCCCAACGCCATCAGAAAAGATGTGGAATGAATGTGAAGCAGGATTTGCTAATAATGCCAATTTTCCAAATTGTTTCGGAGCGATAGATGGGAAACAGATTCGAATTGTGAAGCCACAACGAAGTAGCTCATTATTTTACAACTACAAACATTTTTTTCATTCGTGTTATTGGCTGTTGTGGACACATCATACTGTTTTCGATATGTTGACATTGGAGCATACGGTAAAGAATGTGATTCCTCCGTATTTAAAGAGTCAACATTTTTTCATGCATTGAATTCAGATTCTTTGTATACACCTTGCCCAAAATGCTTACCAGGAACAGAAAATCCGGCTGTACCATATATTTTAGTTGGCGATGAGGCTTTTGGATTAAGTGATAAATTGCTACGTCCATTTGGTGGAAACAACTTAACACAGCAACAACGTGTATTTAATTACCGTTTATCACGTGCCAGGCGTTATGTTGAATGTGGATTCGGTATTTTTAGCAACAAATGGAGAATCTTTCATCGACCTATAAACGTACATCCCGAATTCGCCATTGACATTGTTAAAGCATGTTGTATCTTGCATAATTTAGTACGAATGAGAGATGGTTTTAATATCGGCGATTTCTTAGAAATCATAAACCTCGAAGACATACCAAGAGAGCGACACTTGCGAGGATCAAGAAGCGGGAAAGATATACGGGACCATTTCACAAAATATTTCAATAGTAATGAAGGATCTGTACCGTGGCAATTAAGTAAAATATAGTTAATATTGTTTCTTAACTTACATAGTTACATACCTATTTCGGCTTTTTCTGCTTCGTTCAGGTTTTCATAAATAAATGTATCGATGATTTCATGCCAGGCGGCTTTAGTTTTATTCCTATCCTTAAAATCATTCTCTTGTCTTGTCCCATATCACGGACCTTTCTTCCACCATAGAAATAAATGCCTCAATATCTAAATTTTCCATTTCGCACCTCATGACTACACTGTTTAAACGGAAATGAAACTACGACTCTGTACCACGGCGACAGTAGAATCCCCGTTCGTATGTCAACAGGCATAGACTTGCATGCATTGAAATGAACGCGGCGGTTAATTTACCGACCAGCAGCCGTGTCTTCGCCGTCCAAATTTTAATATGAATGGCGGCCGGCAGCAGGTACCGCCAAGTGTGTTAACCCCTTATTGCATGATTTTTTTGTTTTTTATAGAAAAAAATATAAATAAAATTATCTCAGAATTACGTAAAATATATCAAAAAAATTATTTCTGGGTCAGTTTTTCCGAAAATCGATTATTTTTTTGGTGTGCCATATATGGCACAATATGCAACAAAGCAACATGTATCAATAATAAAAAGATAATTGTAAGCGCATATTTATTTATAAATAAAATTATTCTATATGAAACCTGTAAAAACAATTTCTGTCTTTGTTTAAGCACAGATAAACATTACATTTTTCGCCTCTTATATAACTTTTTGCACCGCAAGTATCTTTGCATCGTTGTCTCTCCATACACCATATTGGAAGATGACCATATCCATCTGCTCGAACATCTTGCATTGGAACATCAGTCGCTGGACCCCTTTTTGCCCTATTTTGTGAATTTGCCATAGCTTCACTTTTTCTAGTAAATCTGGATTTATTGACGTTACACAAGCATTCTGCTACTGCCATTTTGAAATCTACTAAAGCTAAATCAGTGAACTCATTGCCACTTCTTCTCCAGAGTATCCATGCATTGACAGTCATCAAATCAATAATATGAAAAAATATGCGCATGTACCATTTTTTCGATCTGATTTTGATTCTATAGTATCCCAGCATGGAGTACAGCAGGTCCACACCTCCCATATACTTGTTGTATATTGTTATAGATTTTGGACATGGTATCATTATAACTTTGAAGTTGAGTCATTAATTTTCAGATAATGATTGTAGAAGGAAGATAAACCAAAATATGTGTGTAAAAATAAAAAAAAAACAATAGAAAAAAATGTTTTATAAAGTATCCTCCCGACAAGTATTTCAGTGCGGACCTGTATTTGATCGTGCGGTCTTGGAGCACCGGCATGCTCTCCCCTGTGAGGTCTTAAGTCACCTGATTCACGAGCCCTTTGTACTACATTCAGCATTTTCGTAAACATGTGCCATTTTTTATTCACTATTCACTCACGCGTTACCGACTGACACATCGACTGAATACGACTGAATAAGATTGTACATTGTAGTAAAGATATCGTTTCAAATTCTTTCGCTTTTTTGTTTCCGATGCGATGAACGGATAAGGCGGATTATATCCGTTGTTGCCAAACACGAGCACATAATATTATTATTGAGACAGGGCGGTACTCAAACTTCTAAAGGGCTATAACTTTGTTACTTTAATTTTACCAGACTTCGAAATCACCCTGTATGTGTTTTATCCTCTTTTGAAAATCGCTTGACCTCGGCTGTTGGCGTACTTCCAGCATATGTCGATAAAGTGCTTACCAACTTTGAGTAACTGATCCCTTAGTTTACTGAGTAACGGCCGAATTTTAAAACGTTTATCATGTCCTGGGTTGCCGACAGCAATAGCGTCATTATTATTTGAGAAATGTAAAAATCTTTTTATTTCCTCCCATCTGTTGCATGGCATAACATCTGATATCAATCGGTAACTTAGGTGCAAGTTCCAATAGCTTCTAGCATTTGGTAGCTGCACTATTGACATATAAATACATGTCCCAATGAACTGTTCTAGCTCCTTTTCAGAAAGATCTAAAGGTTTTTGTGGTCTTTTTTGCACTGAATATAAAATACTTTGGTACACTATATCTTTGGTCAATTCATTTGTTAGAAAGAACTTGAAAAATGTGTAAGGGGAGTCTACACCTTTCAATTCTGAAGGCAAGTCTGTAGTACTTAAAAATTTCAGATTATCGTCTGATGATACTAAATTTCCTTGAGTCCAGGTAGGATGAGTATGTTTTTTATTCTTCTTTAGCCTGCGTCGCAATTCATCTAGGGAAACATCATCGTCCTCGCTATCTGACTGTTTTCTAAATCGGTTTCTGGGATAATAATATCTGGTGCATTATTATTTACACCATCACATTCATAGTCAGATTCCGGGGCCAATATAATGGTTGGATTATCATCGTCTGATAACTGTTCATCATCACTATCCACTGGTATATCTGATACAAGATTTTTCGAACCATAAAACTTTTGTGGCTCCATTACCTTGAAATAAATAGAACTGAAAATAATAAGGTTCAGAATGCATGTTGTGCCATATATGTCCAAAACAGTTTTGCACAAAAGTGCATACTGTTCCATATATGGCACAAATATTTTTGGACAAAAATCAGTAAAATATAAAGAAATACTTGAATCTACTCACAGGAATGCTTTATATAGGTTGTATCCTAGATGGTGCTATTTTCAATAATCCAAAATGTCCAGTAGAAATCTCTAACTTTGCACCATTTGCAAATTTTCATAAAACTTCACAATGCCGCGTTGAGATGGCGTTACATTGCCAGGTATGATGGACTTGTGCCATATATGGACAGTTATGCATAAGTAGTTGAACATGATGCGTTTTGTAATGGATAAATTGAAAAAAAATATAACTGTGACAGATATGACCCACTATGCAGTAAGGGGTTAAGTTGTATTCGAATGTGGGTAAAATAACATCTTCCGATTTTCTTGCCGGTCGGTGGATTGCACGTTCGTGTGCAAGAGCCCTAACGCCGGGAACACACTCGGCGTTTTTTTCCGATCGTTTTTTTTGCCGTCGACACTATAACAAAATTATAGCATACACACTGGGCGGTAAAATATCCGCCAAGACACAACCGCCACTTCAGCCAATCGATCACTGACCGGCATGCAGCAAGTGTCTAATTGTGCATATTGTATTGTTGGGTATTAACATGAAGAGAGGAAGCGAAAAAATAGATTCATTTGGGTGCATCCTATTAATCAAAGGAGAGGGGAAGTTGGAGCTTTCTGCACTTTATTTCCTGATTTAAGAAACGATGAAAAGATATTTTTCAATTACTTCAGGATGTCGATGTCGTCATTCGATGAACTACACAACCGGCTGAAAACTCATGTCCATCGGGAAAATGCAAGGATGAGGAATTCTATTCAACCTGTGGAAATGGTGGCAATAACTTTAAGGTAAGTAAAACTGAGAATAATAAGAATACAATCACCAGACAACTTTTATATTATAGAACCATATATTTCTGCTCAGAATAAGTTACATTGTATTACATTTTTGGCAATATTTGATGACGTTTAATTACAATTCTGTAAAATCAATTGTGGTTGATGAAGAAGCTACAGAAGGGCTGCGAGAAGGCTGAACATTATCATCCCTGATCATTTGACAAGCAAAACTTTTATCCTGGGTTTCATTTGAAATATGCTGGAAATTTATAAAAGGGGAGCAGGTCATTTGTTGTGCTGGATACTGAGGGGACATCATTTATAATAATAATAATAATAATAATAATCCGGCTTTATTTATACAAAGTATATCGCAAATGCTCGTTGAGACATGTAGGGAACGTTGACAGGTTGGGTAAGGTTGGATTGTAGATTGAACTGCTGTATCTGGGAAGTAGAATGGTTCTCTACATTGCGGGGTTGAGGTATGCAGGGGTATGAATTTTTGATTTTAGAAATGACTGAGAAATTCCATTTGGCATTGAAGCCACTGGTTGTCGTCAAATTTGTCTACATGAGGCAGCAAGCTTTCAAAGAATTGCAATTTGTCGTTTTTTTTCCGGTTCTGTTTGCTCCATTGTCCGCAAAATTTTCAAGTCGACATCATCCATCTTTTTATGTTGTCTTGTAGGCGGTTTTGCTTTTGAAACAACTGCTTTGGTGGAGTCTTCAATTTCAGTCACTTCCGTTAGTACTGACGCAGCACTGGGTCCTGCAATCTCCTCATCTTCGTTGTCATAACTCTCTTCTAGTTCTCTTTCCTTGTATATTTTGCGCAGAAACTGTAGCTCATCGTTAAAAATGTATTTTTTTCTCTTGGAGGCCTGTGAACCAATTGCTTTAGATTGTTTGAAATTCTTTTCTGATCTGATAAAAGCATCACGTAAATGTTTCCACCTTTTCATCACTTCTCTACCTGAAAAAAAATAGTAAAACAAACTTAGGAAGTAAATTGACTACCTACAACATGTTAACTATATTGTTGCATTGACACTAAAATTATGCTTTTTCTTTTTAGGTACTTGGCCAGTGGATGAACATTTGCCGATCTCCATTATTCATACAGAATTGGACGATCTACAGCAAGATTGATTGTTAAAGAGGTCTGTCAAGCTCTGTGGCTAGTTTTACAAAGTGAGTGCATACCACCACCCACTAAAGAAACCTGGGAGAAATCAGCAAAGAGATTTGAATCAGTAGCAAATTTCCCTCATTGTGTGGGTGCGATAGATGGAAAGCATATCCGTCTCGTATGTCCAGCGGAAAGTGGCTCAATGTTCTTCAATTATAAAGAATATTATTCAATCGTGTTAATGGCTATCGCAGACAGTTCGTACCGATTTAATTAACGTGAACATTGGAAGTTATTGAAAAGACTGTGACTCGTCTATTTTCAAGGATACTAAGCTGTTGAAATCAATTCTAAGTGGTTCACATAATCTACCGGAAGAAATGTGCCTTCCAGGAACAGAAAGCCCGAAAGTACCTTATTTCTTTGTTGCTGACGCAGCATTCGGCTTACATAAACATTTGTTGAGACCATACCCACTTGACTGTTGAAAAGAAGGTATTTAACTACAGACTATGTAGAGCAAGAAGATACGTAGAATGCGCCTTCGGAATATTCAGTAATAAATGGCGAATTTTCCACCGTCCCTTGAATGTACATCCTGATTTTGCTACAGACATTGTCAAAGCCTGTATTGTGCTCCATAATTATGTAAGAGATAGAGATGGGTACGTAGTTGAGGATACTACATCAATTACAGGACTTCAAGTACCGTGCAATACAAGAGGAGGTTTGACAGCCAACAACGTGAGAAACATTCTCTGCAAGTACTTCATGTCAAGTGTTGGAAGCATTCCTTGGCAGATGTCAAAGATCTGAGGGCCCCGATTCGTGAAACGAGAAAACACAAGCAATTATCAAGATTGGTTAATTCACTTTTATTAAGTTAATTTTGTTTTTTTTAGTTACTTTTGTTTAGATGCCTTTATTTTTTGTATCCATAAATTAAAAATAAATTAAATACTATCATCTCGATAGTTGTTAGTGAAACAAATTTAAAAAAAAAATATATCGATCGAAAAAAAACGCGTGTGTTCCCGACGTAAGTGTGCGTCCATACTGAAAGCGCGGTGACTGGGGCCTAGGCGGGCGCGACGAGCGACGACGTGCGGTGGCCACAGTGACACGGAAGCTGTTGTACATGTGTGACGTATTATCAGAAGTCCCAAACTATCCACGACGATTTAGTTTTTTTACTTGACAGTCCGATCCTGAGATGGGAGGTGTTGAACATTCGAGATGGTGTGCATGAAATAAATAGAAACTGAGAAACAAGTGGAGCTTTTTTTCATTTGTATGAAGAACTGAGACTATACCCTACCAAATTTTTTGAGTACACTCGAATGCCCGTGTCAACATTTGACTACATCCTGAGTAAAATATCAGCTAAAATCGCCAAAGAAGATACAAACTTTCGGAAAAGTATTAGTCCCGAGGAGAAATTGTTCATAACACTGAGGTAAGAATAAAATAAGATTTTACTAAAAATATAGTATTTATGTGGATAGTAATCAAATTAGTAGTTAACTATAATAAACTGTGAATGTAATTAAAAATGGGTGTAAGTGCCAGTAGTAGAATAGCCTCCATAGTTTTCCTCGTATCTCTGATGAGAAGAATACTGCATCCTTTCTGCCTCGTCTATTATGACTTGGGTAATTTTATTGCGAATACGTAACTTTTGTACTTCACCAAATTGCTTCATTTGTGGCAGGAGACTCATAAAAAAATGATAATCATCACATTTTTCCGGCTGGACATTATTTGTGGCCATTTTCTGTTCTATTGGCAAATTTTTTTTTCTTTCACATTCTATAAGCTCATCTCTATAATCGGATGCTGATTTGTTGCGCTTTGATGCATTTGTGCGACTGCTGGTGGTTGATGTACCTGGAGTCATCACATCATTTTGCTCCTCAGTATGACAGGACTCGTTCAGGGAATCCGAATCACTATCATGCAGGTTTCCAGTCATGACTTCAGGTGTAATATCATCGTTTAAAAATTGCATGAGTTGAAAGTATGGCCAAGTGCTCTCTGTTTCGTTGGCAGCGTCACCAGAACGCGGCGTAGGGAACTTCTTTTTTTCTTTCCGAAACTGATCGCGCAGGTTCTTCCACTTCTTACGCAGTTGTTTTTCTGTAACAATAACCTTATATTATAATCTGCTTTTTTAATTTCAGGTTTTTATCAACAGGAGCTGGGTTTAGAGCACTGGCATACAGTTTTCGCATGGGGAAAAGTACAATTGCGTCTACAGTTCACGGAACATGCCGTGTTTTATGGGCTGAGTTAGTTCCTATACACATGCCGATACCAACAGAACAACGTCTGAAAGCTATTGCAGAAGATTTTGAAGCAACCTGGAATTTCCCACACTGCATCGGAGCAATAGATGGGAAACATTGTGAAATAAAAAAACCACCTAAATCTGGTTCGGCACATTGGTGCTATAAAAAAAGAAACAGTATTGTCATGCAAGCTGTGGCTGATGAAAAAAGGAGATTTGTAGCAGTGGAAGTCGGCGGTCGCGGGAAGCAAAGTGATGGTAGTACTTTTATAGCATCAACGCTGTATAAGCTTATAGAAAAAAATAAATACAAAATTCCTAGGCCAAAGAGACTCCCAAACTCTGACGTCATTGCACCCTACGTCCTAGTGGGTGATGAAGCATATCCGTTGAAGCATTATTTGATGCGTCCTTATCCGGAGCGAGTGCTTAATAATGAAAGAAAATGTTTTAATATCAGATTGTCTACCGCTAGGCAAACAATCGAATGTGCATTCGGCATTTTAACATGTAAATGGAGAATACTACGAAAACCTATCGAAACAAATAGGAGAAATGCCTTTTATATGATAAAAGCTGCCTGTATTCTACACAATACCATACTGGATTTGAACGGCGATAGCGATTTGGATATTCAGAATGTGCTATCTAACCCGGCATTATGTGAAAATCGTCACAATAACCTCGGAGTGCGAAATAATAATCCATCACGAAGAGCAAAAAATGTTCGTATACAATTCACAAACTATTTCTGGGAATAGTATCGAAGAATGTAATGGTGATGATATAATAAAATATTAAACTTACCTTCACTTCCAGGAAATTGTTCTTTTATTTCATTCCATAACTGTCTTGTCTTTGTGCGGTTACTGTGATGTGGATGCTTACTTTGCCATATAGGTGGCTTAGATTGAATCGCACTTATGAACAATTCAGTATCCACCATTTTGCATGTGCATACGCCGAGCGACAAGACCAAACTGGTTTAATACCGCCGCCACCGCGCGCAAAATCGCTTGCAGACTAGGCCCGTAGTGTGGCCAGAAAGCGCGGAACAAGAACGTTTGAAAACTACGCGCGCTGTCTCGCTCAATCCCGTCGCGCTAGGCCTCCGCCTTAGGCTGAAAACATAGTGGAGCGGCGAGATGAGCGACGAGGAGAGCAGAGAGCAGAGCGGCGATTGAGTGTCGCGGTGATAAAAGAGATGCCTGCACATAGTAGCGCGATCAAAACAGAGAGATGGATCTGTTGTTAGCAGAAAATTCTTCTCTGAAAATTTGGTATTTTCTGAAAAATAGGAAGAGAAGTTGTAGTGTTCATGAAATAAATAAAAGTAGGCATGTACATGGTGAATTTCATCACCTGTATGAAGAACTAAGGCAGCATCCCGAGAAGTTTAAGTCTTATTTCCGAATGAGTATTGTAACCTTTGATTATATTGTGAAGAAAATTCAGCATAAGTTAGTAAAAAGTTGGACCAACTTTAATTGTAACCCTATTAGCCCAACAGAACGAGTTGCACTGACCTTAAGGTAAGTAAACGTGCACACTTTCAATTTTATATTTTATTCAGAACGAAAACCCAAACTAAAATGAAAGCACAAACATTACTCATATAGCTGTACCTATGTGAAAATATTAAAAATCATTAAGAGATTCTTCGGAAAAACTGGTCAAATAAGATCCAACTGATGCAGGATTCGAGGAGACCCTTAGAGGCTGCAAATCAATTATTTGGGATGAATTTACTTCATATACATCATGCATATTTTGAGCTTGATGATTACTTTGCCTTTGAGTAGCTTGACTAGGCGGCTGATCATTGTAAATAAAGTTATAAACAAGTTCCTGAATTCTCATTCTTAATAACATTTTTCTTTGTGGGGTGAGCGGGCGAATGTGTGGTAGAAGGCTGTCAAAAAAGCAATCGTCTTCATCAAGGGTTTTTTTCTCTTTTTCTAGAATCCTGAGTTTTTGTTCTTCTAATCTTATAAGTGCAGCACCAACATCTGTGTCATTTTGGTTCTTTCGTTTTAATTTGTTAACAGTAGGTGTGATAGTTAAACTGCTTTTGTTTTGAGACGAATCGTTCGTCAGTGGTAATTTATCGGCATAAGTAGAATCATCCAAGTTTGGCTTATTTGGTTCTGATCGGTGTTCTGATAACTGGGTGTTTGTTTCTTCATCCAGAATATTGATGTTTTGCTCAGTTTCGGGCAAATTTCCGGTGCTTACTCGGGCAGTAAATTGGTCTTTTAAAAAATAAAGACTATCAAAATATTGCCAAGATGATGTCCAAGAGGATGCCTCATCCCCCGATCGTTGTACTGGCTTTTTTTTAAGTTCTTTGCGAAATGTGTCTCGCAAGTTTTTCCATTTTGTCCTCACGATACTCCCTGAAATGAGAAAATATTTTTACCAGAATTTAAGCTTGAAGAAGTTTTTTTTTCAGGTTTTTGGCAACGGGATCATCTTTTAAAACTCTTAGTTTTACTTTTCGAATGGGTGCTACGACCGTGTCATCAATTGTGCGAGAAACAGTAAAAGCTATGTGGGACATATTACAACCTCTGCATATGAAACTTCCTACCGAAAATGACTTCAAGAACACTGCAAAAGAATTCTACGAAAAATGGAATTTTCCCAATTGTCTGGGGGCAATTGACGGAAAACATATTCGTGTGAAATGTCCTCCTCACTCTGGAACTATGTACTATAATTACAAAAACTTCTTTTCTATTGTTCTCCAAGCTGTTACTGATGCAAATTATAGATTTATAACGATTGATGTTGGAGGGTATGGCAAGCAGAGTGACGGGGGTACATTCCGATCCTCATCTCTATTTCATCTGATTGAGAGTAAACGTCTAAATATTCCTGAAGATGGTACATTACCGCTCACTATGATCACTGTACCCTATGTTTTTATCGGAGATGAAGCCTATCCTTTATTAAATAATCTAATGAAACCTTTTAATAGAAGAAATTTAGATGCAGAAAAAGAATATTACAATATGAGCCTTTCACGTGCAAGACGTGTAGTAGAGTGTGCTTTTGGAATCATCAGTGCCAAGTTTCGTATTCTTTTCAAGCCCATAGAAGCCTCTCCAGACTTAGCAGATGATATTATTAAGTGTATCTGTATTCTACACAATACAATAATTGATATAGAGGGCATTCCAATTCAAGATGAACAATTTTTGTCCCAATCCGAGTCTCAATGTAATAACTCGGACGTTGTGCGAGCAAATAATAGGCCAACAGCATCTGCCACTTTTATTAGAGAGACGTATAAAAATTACGTATGTAGAAATAAAATTTAAAAATATATACTCACTTGTTGTTTTCATTTCTTCGGCCACAGCATCCCACAGTTTATCCAAAACAAAGCGGTTATGGTGCTGAGAGTCTTTCTGATCCCATAGGGGATTTTTAACAAAAACACTAGTAATAAATGCATCAACATCCATTTTTAATACACAGTATTTCCGCAGCGAGGAGAGCAGAGAAAACAAATCTGCTTGGTCTCGCCGCTATCCTCTCTTATAGCAACGCAGTTACCTCGCTTGAGCTCGCCTCACTATGTTATACTCGATTGGAACTATTGCTTTTGTTTTCGCCGCTCTCCTCTCTGCTCTGCTCGTCGCTCTTCTCACCGCTCCACTATGTGTTCAGCCTTAGTCACTGCACTATGGACACAGAGGCGCGTTTCATAATGTTTGATACTTCGCGCCCGTCGTCGCAACCGCGCTAGGCCTGCAGTATGCACACACACTAAGTGTGTCATTGTTAAAGTCACTACTGCATATGCTTTTACCGGGTGGCACGTTCAGACGTTTCCTTCTTTTTACCTATCTCTTTTTCGTTGTTTCTGTCCTTACATTGGTAATGTTTTGAATAAAACTGTTACCAACATGCTCAGTTATTTCGGTATCTGCTGTTACGACACGATCGCATAAACGGTCTAACACTTGTCGGTCCAAATTCCTGTTTTTCTGAAACCGGATTTTAAATTATCAGGCGCTTTCTCTGACAACTGATTCATTAGATTTTTCAAAAGCCCCGGAAAATCATCCTTTGGTATAGAAGAAACTCTGCTGCCATAACTACTTGCCTTCCACTCGCCATTTTTCCTTCATTGGTCGGAAAAAGCCACGTCAAGTGGTTGGAGTAGATGCGGGGTATTAGGATTTAATACTATAAAACGAATGTAATTAGATTCACATTCTTGAATGACTTGCTGATCCAAGTGTGAACTGACAGTCTTCTATGATTGCCTTTCGTCCTTCTTGACGTTTTAATATTGGAAGCATAAGATGTAAAAACCAATCGTCAAAAATTTGATAGTCAAACCATCCTGAAGCCGTCCTATTATATCGCGCGTTTGGCGGTCCATTTTCGGTCCAGGTGTTCCATAATTTTTGAGATTTATAATTGACGTAAAGTGGTGCTTTTTGACCCTCGGCCTTTCCGCATACCATTAATGAGGTACAGGTTCTAGATGAGTTCCTGATACGTTCAGGATACTTCGTTCCTCTTGGTTACTATTTTTGTCTGTCCCGGGTCATCAACTAGGTTAGCCTCATCATAATTCCATATATTGCTTGCAGGAATTCCTGCTAACTCAACCTCCAAATTATCGAAGAAGTTATTTATGATTTCTTCATCAATAGCAGCCCTAGCATGTGAAATGTTCTGCGCAATCCCCCGAGAAAGTTGTGGATGTCGTTTTAGAAAGGATTTGACCCAATCACATCCTGGCTTATTGTTTTTAAAAGGTTTAATATTTTTGCCCTGCGGGTCCAAATAGGACTACACATCGAAGGTCAAATGTGCTTACTGGAAAACCAAAAGCTGACACAGTAATTACATGGGCTGCAAATATATTTTCTTCCTCCTCAGTCAACACTTTTTGTTGTCCAGGTTTTTTCTTATGTCTCTCTTTTATTTTCAGCGATAAAGTATTTCGATGGATATTATATTTTTCTGCAGCACCGCGTAGTGAAATCCGTTTACTCCTTATCTCGTGAAGAGCTTCTGTTAATTTTTCTTGTGTATAATTGTTGTAATTGCGACTACCAATTTTTCTTCTATACACTCGTGGCATTCTATCTGAAAAATTACACATTTTGCGTTTCAATAATACCTTCATAGACATTCAAGGGGTTACTTTGTGACAATTTTTTATCACAAAGTAGCCCCTCTAATTGTAACCAATTTTTAAAAAATGTGTTAACCCTTTATAGTGCAAGACTTCAATCTTCATCAACAAGAGTAATAAACACCCGAGTTTTTGTGAGCAGGGACAAAAACTACTGTTTATATGACATTTTGTTGATTACAGTTTCCAAAATGGCGTCCAGGTGGTGGTCCTTATAGTGACCACCACACATTTAGGGTGCGTTTAAGTCAAATGCGTTTGATAGCTTTCAATAAAACAACTTTTATTTTTTTACATGAAACTGTTCAAAACATTGTAAGCAAAGTCCAACATTGCACTCTTTGCACTGAATTTTTGTCCTCTTGACATTTTTCTTAGTACTACAATACCCACATCGTCGTTTTGTACCAGGGACTGGCAAATGTTGACCCACGTTTGTCATTCGCTGTGTATTTTCAACGGTTATCTTACGGCCATTGATTTTGTTGATTTTATTTTTGTTTATTTGTGGTATAGGCCCCATTCATTTCCGGCCACTGAATGAACCGATCAGCTGATTAGCTAAAATACTCCTATACTGTAGTTGAGATATTGGTTTCTCTTTAGTCTGTTTTTTCGTTTCTGAGTAGAGAATGTAGCTATTTACAACTGAGGCATCAAAAACAAAGTAAAAAAGTTTCATCCACCATCGCCTGCTTTTCCAAGAGACATTATATGAAGACATGAGCTGATCAAACTTGTCCACACCCAGCATATATTTATTATAATCTGATACCGCACTTGGACAAATAACTTCCTCGCGATTCCCTTGGGCATTCGTTCTAAGAACAGTTGTTTCTTCCCTTGGATCGTGAAAATTGCTAGCAAGTAGGACTGGTTTGGTACCTCGATCCTTCCATTTGTATACAGAAATATCACCGGCCATGCAATAGTCAGATTCTCCACGTTTCAGGGATTTATCGTTCCTCATTTTACTTTTTGGGAAAAACTTTTTATTTTTCCTTAGTGTGCCACATGCAAATGTATTTTTTGCAAGAAGCATTTTGAGCAATGGAAAACTATTGAAAAAGTTGTCAAAGTAGAGACAGCGCCCCTCACCATTATATTTATCAGACATTGTAAGAACGGTTCTTTCTCCCAGGCTTATACCTGCCGAATCAGTTTGCTCTTTGCCTTCATATATCTTGAAACCCAAGTTGTAACCGGTTCGAGAACAAGCAATCACCCAAACTTTAAATCCCCTTTTCACTGGTTTCATGGGCATATACTGTTTCAACGTAGTACGACCCTTGAAACCAACCATGCTTTCATCAATGGAGAGTTCCCTGTAGGGAGCGTAAAGGGTTGAAAATCGTTCGTTCAAAATATCAACAAGTGGACGTATTTTATATAGCTTATCAAAGTTCTCTTGTCCTCGCTGTGGCATAACTTCATTGTCGTTTAGGTGAAGGTAGCGAAGAATATGTAGAAACCTCTTTTGTGACATTACGTTACTTATGCGGCTTACATGGAAGTTTTGATCTGTTGACCAGTACAATCTTAGGCTTGGCAGGGTATGGAAGCCCATTATCAGTAGCATACCAAAAAACGCTTGCAACTCATCCCGTTGTAAATTCAAACCAACTCCTTTTTGCTCTGCGTACCTGTTAGACTCGGTAATAATCATATCATATACTACGTCCGAGAATATTGCGTGAAAATACTGCACAGGTGAATCGATGGTTCCATTTGTCAATCCAACTATATCCTTGACACCTTGTGGTTGATTATAGTTGACATCTTTATAGGTCTTTGGTTGGCTTCCAATTTTCGTCCAAATGAACTCGACATCATCCCCATCAGCACCTGTCTCTTCTGGTTCATCTTCATCATTTTCAACGTCCTTTGTTGAGATGTCTAAGGCTCCTTGACATTCATTCATCCCACTGTTACAAGCATTAGTCATCTCAGATCCACTGTCTGATCCAGAATATTCATAATCGGGATCTTTTACAGAATCATCTGATTCATCTTGATAAACGTTACCGGAAGTGGTAGAAGTATTGGCTGATACACTTCTTGAAACAATGATGCCTGACTTTGCCCTGGTGGTAGGTTTTGACTTGGGAATAAACTGTTTTGTCAATGGAAGATTGTCGTCGGCATCACTTTCTCCTTCAAGATCGGAATTTATAGCCTGAGCGTCGGATATTGCCTCACAATCTGCTACTATCTGTAGAAGCTCCTCCTGTGTCGCTTTCTGAAGCTCTTGAAACGTCCATTTAGTTTTCGAATTCATATTCTGAAAGAAAAGTGCCAGATTCAAATTCCGATAACTCGTAAGCCGAATAAAATTTCAAAATCACTCTTTGTATTGAGTATCAGTAGCATATATTGAATAACATACGCATGTAACTATAAACGAAGATGTCGCATATAGATGTAAAATTAAAATTCAAAATTTATCTTTTTGAGGTTAGAAGTGTGGTACTTACCTTTATATGACAAAAGTTATTGATTTATCTGATACTTTTTACTCGAACATTAATTTATTCACCATTACAACAGTGCAGATGACAATTCTTATAATATTTTTTATCGTGATCACCAGTAAGTCAGAAAAAAATAACACAATGTAACACTTCGCGCGAAAACAGTTTTTATGCTTGCTCGTTATGCAAGGTGGTCCGATAAGGGACCACATAATAGTTGCGCGCGCTGATCACGTGTTCAGCCACCAGTAGTGGTCCTCTAAAATACCACCGACTAATCCACACATATCGTTCTGTCAGCAAGGCTCATTTTTAGCGCACCGGTTACGCGAAATTGATACCTAACAGAGGTGGTCCTCAATGGGACCACCAACAGTTAAAGGGTTAAACAAAGTGAAAAATAACTTCGAAAAGATATAAATCTAACACTGAGGCGTGAAAATGTTCGTACTTTAATATAAACCTACCTTGGTGGAAAAATCTTTTAATATATTTTCTGACCAACACAAAGTTTGCACACAAAACGAAATCCACCTGTTTACTCGATTATCGAGTCGGCTCTGGCACGAGCACAGCTGTACTAGGAGCTATTGATGAAACGCCATAGATGGCGCACCTAGTCCACTATTGAAATATAAAATTTGAATTATACTACCGCATTTAGGAACTTGGTAAAAATAGAAAATTTAATCATAGATGTCACTGTCACAAAGTAGGCTGTAGTGTTACAAAGTAGCCCCTCTTTACGGTAATTGTTTTTGCTCTAAATCTCAAGGTGTGACATTTACATGGAAATCTGGAGTTTTTAAGGATGAAGAATACGACTGAATCCAATTTT